ATGAGAATGTTTCAATTAGTTTTGTTTTTCTTGGAACTAATTTGAAAGATTCGATTCGTCTGCTACCAACAAACGCATTCATTCTCCCCTTCCCAAATTGAACTAAACGAAATCCAACCAGCCATCGGTGGTTCCATACCACCATAGGTCAAGTCAACATCACTTCCAGCTCGTCGTGAATACGGATCACTTGGATTGTACGGTATTAAAGCACCTAAAAAAGAGCATTCTGCATCTGATCGAACCGATATCTGACATGAGAATCTTCAATTGCAAAAATGATTGCGCTTGATTGTTCAATTCTATTGAAATCCCCTCTGACCAATGTTCAAGAGTATTGCTGCAACAGCTTCGAATCCTCTGCGTCGAATGTCTTCCGCTCATTCAAAAAAAAGGTCTCCTTGCTGGAGAAATGACTACACTTAATCAATTCAACCTCTTGAGATTCCTGATTGATCTCCACAAAGTGATCAGTAATATTTTATTCATGAAAATCATCTTTATTCATGAAAAAAAAGTGTGTTCAAGCGAGGCAGCTTGCAGTGGTCAATGGATTTAACTTCCCGTATTTACACGAAACTATGCTTCTTAGTTCCACTCCCTATTCGTCGTGCCAATATGCCAGTACATCTTTCTTCTGATCCCTAATTCTGAGATTTTTTTCGAGCTGAATGTTGAACAGAATACTTGAGCAAAGTAATGTGAGTGGTGTTCATTTGAAGATTATGCTAAAACATTACTGCATTTGCCTATATATCGCTATGCACGATCGACCTTGACATTCACGAGACAACGTCACTAGATTTCTATCGGTACATACACTTCGTACATATAGATCTATTGCAAACATTCTATTACCGAATGAATATTCCATTATCAATCATTAATTGTACATTAATTGATATAAAATACGTTTATCTATAATAATGTACATGTGTTAGTATGTGTATGTTTCATTTCTCAGATATGCAAATAATGAATAAATAATAATAATAATAATTCAAAAAATAAATAAACAAAGCAAAAGTGCATCTGCAAACAACTGATTAAAAAATACCTTGTCCTGCAGTGGCCGCCAGTCGATTTGAATCAGTTCTTTTGTGTTTGAAACGATTCACAATCGATGACGAAATACTTGCCGAATCGTACTCACCAGATTGCTGTCTCCGTTCCCAAGCCTCTTTCCCAATCGCTTTCTCGGCCCATCGTTGCTGCTCCCTCTCTTCGTCATTCGGCGATATTTCTTCGATTTCACTTCAAAATTTGCTTCATCCACGTCAGATTTCTCTTTTTTTTTCACAAAAAATAGAACAAAAAATAAATCCGCAATCATTAACTATCAATCAAATTCAGTAATAATCTATTCAGTGCAACAAT